TTACTAAATGTTCTTTATACTCACACACTGAATAAAATGATTAATGCGAATGAAATGAATTTAAATGTAATGGTAAATAAGTATTTATGATCTTGTTTTGTAACTTGTTTTGCTGTTTTTATTTTTAAAAATTAATAAACGCTTTTTGTACTCACGGGCTGAATTGGCGCAAATAATAATCAGTTATGAGCTTAAATGTAAGATACGCAGATTAATAAATATTCTTAATGCTTACTCCCTGATAATTAAAGTTTGATGAGGTTATTTTCAATTTCACTTTAAAAAATTACAAACATAATAATAAAAAAAATTAAGAATTAACTTACTTCATAATCCATTCAATATATTTAATAGAATTCCTTTCCACGCCGATTCCATACCAGTAACAAATGGCAGTTTTCCAAACTCCCATTGAGTTACCAGCTTCAGCAGACATCAGATAATAAGTAAACGCTTTATGCTTATCAACTTCAACCGATTTTTTATAATATATAAATGCCTTGTTTTCATCCTTTTCAGTTCCAATTCCATATTCGCAACAATATCCAAGCCAAAATATTCCATCCGCATCAATTGGTTGTCCTATTGTATTCAATATTCCATCCGCATTGATTGGTTGCCCTATTGTATTCAAATAAGGCGTTGTTTTTATTTGACTTTCTGGAAGAAAGATAATGCACCATTGGAGTAAATATTCCTCATTATATTTGCGTGAATATTCTTCATTTTTATCGTTGTTGTTATCGTAATGACTTCTTTTTTTACCATCGATTGATATGTTAATTTCAACTTCGTCATGATAATTTTGAATGTTAGAAGTTAATTTTGCCTCACAATCTGACGGAGGGTATATAATATTTGTGCATATTATTGAACCTGTTGAAAGATTTTTAGGAACTTTTAATGGGATTTTCAAGTCTTCTTTGTATTTAAATGGATGTTCATTTGAGAAAAATACACGAATTTTTCGTGTTGTTTTACTATAATATCTAATTTCTGAAGGCAACCCAATCAACATCCAGACTATTTGAGAGTCTCTAATAATATGAAATATGAAGTATCAGATATTTTGTTAATAAATTTTGCAATTTAAAAAATATATAAAAAAAAACGAATATTTACTCTGTTATGTCAAAATTTTCGATTACTATGGAAAACCCGGATATACTCATAGATTGAATTTTAATTACTCCTGAATTAATTGGATTATTTTGCGATACAAGTTTTCCAAAAATTTTATAATTACTGGATTTAAAATTCTCAGGAAATTTTACGCGATAATAGTGAGTAGAAGCTTTGATAGAAACTGTCCCAGTAATAAGAACTCTGTCTTTAACTTCTATTTGGTTATCAATTCCAAGTATAAATTCAATTTCTTCTTGAAGAGACTTATCCAATATTTGATATAATGGAAGCAATTTCAAATCGACAACCTGTAATGGCTCGTCATTTTTTAAATTAGATACCCATTCTTGAAGACTATCTTTCTTAACAGTATTTCCACTGACTGATGTCAAGTAAGATGTATCAAAGTACGGTCTAATAAGATTTCCCCATTCATTTAAAATATCATTACACGTTGCAGAATCATTAAAATCTACTAATTTTGTATACAATTCCTGTCCGCACCTTTCAATTAAATAACATATTTTGGATAATTTATACCCGAAAATAACCCTTTCACACAAAAAGATCATAAATACTTATTTACCATTACGTTTAAATTCATTTCATTCGCATTAATTTAGTTGGTGAGT